GAAGACTTATCTTGCAAATCAGAAATGGATGACAAAGCTTATTTGAGATAACACCTCTCCTGCAAGCCTCACAACTGTGATTTGAGGACAAAATGAGATGATAAATGTGAAAGGATTCTGGGGACTGCTGGAGGCATTATTCAAATACAAACTTGCTTTGTTATCTCTACATTTTATAAGATCAGAAATCAGTAGCCTTGTTGAAAGCAAATTTGAGTTGGGAATTCTTTTAAGGGATGTGTGATAATGAAAGATGGTTATTCAAGGGAAAGACATTCTATTTTTACTTGTTTCGCCCCCCTCTTTTTCCACAGTACATCTCAAATAGAGGTTTTTAAAAAATTCTTTATCCCCCCAAAGAGAAGTCTGCCTGAATTTCCTCTTTAGATAACTTCTTTAAGTGCCAAGGGATTGTTTCAGTGGAAGAAAGTAATCTTCACATAGGTCTGACCCTGCACAATGCTTAGGGTTGGGGGCAAAGGCTTTAATTAAAATGAAAGAATTGGTAACTTCTGCTCTATCTGGGAAGCTTAGACATGATGTAGTTTGAGTGAAAGCAATGACTTTTGCTTAAAATGCAAATATTAATGCAAGAAAGAGCCTGGAACTGACTCCCTGCAACTGGAGGAGATTGTGATTTCTTTTTCATGCTTTTTCCTTTGAAGTAATATTTCTTTTTCTTTCCTGAAACTCTGTAATACATACATTTAACATGTGGGTTTTTTTTCTCCTTTCACTTGACAGTTTGCTTTTTCATACTTTTGAAAGCAGTGCAAATTGTGGTTATGATAAATCTTTGAAAAAGCCATAAAAGTTTGTGGTGGTTGTTTACATCTGTGTGGATGCTACAGAGTCAGTTTGAGACCTGTGCTGTCTTCCAGGCCTTCTCGGCATGACCATGTGGACACCTCTGGTCTCACTGACCAGAGTCTGCATATAGACATAGAGCCTGGAAGCTACCACTGCGGCAGGCACACTTACTTACTGAGCACCTGTATGTACCAGAAAAAGAAAAAAGTGTAAAATTTGAAGGAGCATCTATTGTCCTTGGGCTCAAGGCTTGTCAAGTAGTATTGCAATGAAAAAGATGCATTTTTATTGTTTAGCCATTAATAATAGGAAATGGAAATGTGTTCATTTATACTGATCCCGAGCATCACAGTTTATGAGGCTTTTCACTAATAATAATCATGGGGGAAAAGTACACCTAGTATAGAATTTACATGGCTGAATATTTTAAAGTTATTATTATCATTTTACAGGAAAATTTGTTATAGAAATAAAAAACAAAAATCCAACTCCTTCTAATACATTTCCATTTTCATTTCCACCTCTTCTTGATATACTTAGAAACTTTAATGTTATTATAATCATGGTATACATGCAGTTTTAAGTTTAGCATTTCTCATTTATCATTCATTATGCAAAAAACCTTTTTTTTCTGATGTGTACTAAGCATAAAGTTATTCTATGGTTGCTGCTTTGACCAGTTTTCTATTGCTAAATGTACAGCTGTCTACCCTAGTTTTTGTGTAGCTGTTCAAATTTAAGTAATGCTGCAATAAACACAATTACCTGGATTTGATTTTAACTTTCTGTGTGCAAGTTTATGCTTTTTTAATAGAATAAATGGAAAGCAGTGAGTTTTCTGTGCCAAATTTTAAGGCATTTCTAATAGGCAGTGGACAGAGAAGAGCAATTGGAGGCAGACACTGTAAGTGACAGTGAGAGTCTCATATTGAGGAAGGGAGGATGCCGAGAAGAAGGGAGCAGACTCTGGCCTTGCAGCATGGTAAAGCTGAAGCCTGAGGTCAGAGGCAGTGCAATCTAAAGCGCAACTAGGAACAATCTGCAGGGGATCTCTTCCCCGGGTCAGCCATCAAGGTTTGAATCAGTGGAACTGTGAGTCAGTTACACTGAGAAATGGGCAGTCTGCAGTTTGTGATCCCCCTCCTGGAAGTCAGCATTGAGTGTGAATAGAGAAGGATTGGCTCTGCCTCCAGCAGCCTGGAGAAAGCAAAGGGCAGGAAAGAGGATCGCAGGCAGAGGGAAGCACTAGGTGATGAGGTAGCATGCCTCACTCTCCTTGTCCCTTGAGTGTGTGTACAGGGGTATTTTCCAGAGTTCGTTTGTCCTCATTCCTGACGTTAGACAAGTGTACTCCTTGGAACATAGTCAGGCTTGCTTCCCCCAAGATTGGAAATTGGGGAGCTGAAGGGAAACACGGAGCCTACGATCATTCAAGCTGCTCCAAATCTCAGAACCTAACTTCCCTCATCACTAATGGCTTCACAGAACAGCTCATAATTTTTTTTTTTTCCTCAGCTAATGGGTTTTTACTGGATTTGGATGTGTCAAACTCCAAAGAAATAGCTTGGTGAACTTTGCTTTTGCCAGAAAATTTTTTTGAAAAGAAATATAATATTTTAGGAAAGAAAGAAAAAACAGAACAAAATAACCCCAAAACATCACATTTTGAAATTTCCAATTTTGTCACAATTTTGTTTTCCAGGAATGCAGAACCTTTGTATAGATGGATGAGGTAGGAAATTGGATAAGTTATTCTGTGATCACAAATGCAAAATTGAAAATATACTTTGTCTGCATGTGAGTTCACGTGTTTTCCTTACTGTCTTTTTTTTTTACCAATTGCCAGATGGTACTTTTCCTCCAGTCAAGGCTGTGTCTACCTTCAGCTAGTTGTAGATTTTGAAATGCTCTTTGTTTTATTGTTTTGACTTAGCAGCCTTCCAAATATTACCACTCCCCTCTATTTCCCCAAACTCCACAAAATTGTAGAAAACACAGACATATTTTAGTAATCAGCTTGTTTATTTGCAAAAGAACAACAACAAACCAAAACCCCCTCTAGTCTGCACTGGGCTGTTGTCATAACCACGCAGAAACTGAAAAATGATGTTGAACTGTCTGACACATACGCACGCAGGCTTTTATTTTTCTGCTCCATCATTCCAGATAAACAAACAAATAAGCAAACAAGAAGACTCCAGATAATCCTGATTAAAACCTACTACAGAACCTAGAAATAGACATGGATGTTAACAGTATATTCAAACCACTCTTCACTACTTCTATACATCTGTAAATATTTCTCACATTCTGTTAGTACTTTTAAATCCATTTAAAGGCCTTAAAGTGCCCAGGGACTGTTTTGAGGCCTTCTTGCTCTAGACAGATTGAAGGAATTAAAAAGTGATGAATAGGGAAGGCCTGGCAGGAAGTATTTACAATGTGTCCTGTAAACTTGCTGTGTGTTCTCCGAAAATCACTTTGCCTCTGTGGCTAATCCATAAAAGTAAACCATCATCTGGGAGATTGGCTAAAACTCAACTGTAAATAAAGGTAAAGTGGAACAAAGTCCTGGAAAAGAACTGAACATTCTCAGAGTAAAGAATAGGAACTTGGAATTAAGCAGCAATGGATGCAGTGTTAGGAACTGGACGCTGTCAATAAATATTTAGCATTATGCAAATTATAATTTTTCATATGCACTGTCTCATTTGATTCTCACGACAACCCTATTAAATATTATCATATTTATTTTGTGCATGGGGAAGATGCGACTCATCTGGCCACACATGCACCCCACCCACTCGTGGGTCCACATCACACAGCCAAGAGCAGGAGAGGTGGATTTGGGACACTGAACTGTTTATGCTTCCTTACCAGTCACTCTGTTGTCTGCCTCACAGAGAATCTGGAGGTGAACAGCAGTGTTCTTCAAAATATGGGAGTCTGGGTGCCCTGTCTTCAGACCCCCACAAATGGGGGAAGATGGGACTTGGAATGGATTCATAGCCAAGTGTGGAGGCACAGGACAGGAGGCCAAGGGAAGAGGATTGTAAGTTCAAGCCAAGCCAGTGAAATTCAGCAACTTTGTGAGATCCTATCTCAAGATAAATAAATTAAGTTAAAGCCTGGGGATGTAACTCAGATTGCAGGTCCTGAGCTTAGTCCCCAGTACTGAAAATATCGAAAGGGGAGGAGATTAGTTTCTCTGTAGTGGCCTTGGACCAGCCGGCACCACCAACCATTAAATCTTGTGAGTCCCTGGGGTGATGGACCTTTGTTTCTTCATGTGATCCCCTGCTCCTGCCCGCTTGCAGGTGGCTTGGGCAGCACACGATTGCCACACTGGCTTGCAGTGTCATTTGTCTGTTTTGCTTTGACCTCGGAGAATCCTTCTTGATAGCTTCTTAATGAGACTCAGGTTTGGAAAACTGGGAGGCAGGGAGAAAACTGGAAGAGAAGAATGCATGGAGAACGGTGTGCACCAGGGGTCCAGAGTGCCTCACGTCCTGACCTTTGAGGAGGGCACACGAGTGAGACAGAACATCCCACTGGCACTTTGCTTCTTTTTCTTTTTCTTTTTATCCCCTTCCCTCCTCTCCTCTCCTTTCTTCTTCCCTTCCTCCCAACCTCCTTTTCTCTCTCTATTTTATGGTACTGAGCGTGGAGAACAGGGCCTTGTTTTTCCAGGCAGTACTCTATCACTGGGCTACATCCCTGGTCCTTGGCAAGTTTTATTTTGAGACAGGGTCTCACTAAGTTGCCCAGGCTGGCTTTGAACTTGCTATTCTCCTGCCTCAGCCTCCTGAGGACCAAGAATTAGGCTTGTGTACCACCAAGCCTAACACATTGCCTCTATTTACCACAATCCATCCTTTGTGCTATTTCCTCGGCTTACGTGTCTTACTTTTGAGGACAATTAAATACATTATCCATGCTAAGCGAGACAACTCAATATCTACCTTTTTTCATTACAGTTTTTACTTTTCCTGAAATGACTTTGGCTTTATGATCTTGGGCAAGTCACTTAATCGTTCTGAAAATATATCCTGCACAGCCCACAGGAGCACAAGACAATGTTTTTCTGAAAGCACTTCTTTGCATTTGTGGTCATGGGCCCCATTTCGATCTTTTCTTCTTTCTCAAATGCCTTCACTGTCATAGTGTGTCCTTCTGCTTTTCCTCCCCAGAGTCGAAAACATGCAAGCAAAGTCCGACTGTATTACATGCTTCACCCCAGGGATGGGGGGTGTCCTGCCAAGAGGCTGCGGGCAGAAAACGTGAGTATCCACCCCAGAACAGGGCACTTCCTGAGGCCCGCAGGTCTGGGAGTTAGGGGTTCAAATGAGGAGTAATGCTAACTACAGACAGTTCTTACGAAGTCCACAGAAAGCATTGTGTATAAGCAAGGTAGCTCGTTGGTTGTTTTTGCTTTCCAGCCAGAACTCTCTGGGGTGAGTTCTGATGTAGGGCAGGGGACCACACAGACAGAGCTTCTGTGGCGACACTGGGAAAGGGCATGGCTGGTGGCAGGGGACAAAAGCCATCAAAGGACAGGGTGTCAGGAAGACAATGCCTCAGGGGCCAGCCTGTCGCACAAGAGAGGCTTTGCTTTTTACATATTTCATTTTTCCTTTGCTGGGTAGAACAGAATGTCAGTTTGTTAATTTATAATGAAGACTGTACATATCTTGCAAATAAAAATACTCGGGATTTTTGATCAGAGCTCCTTCTCCCTAAGGGAACATTTACATGGGAAGATAGATGACATTTGGAAAGTTGCTTTGAGAGTGTCGAGTCAGAGCAAAGGGGTTTATTTCAGCTGGGCCAAGGCAAAGACTGATGAGATAAATATTCCTTCCCCCAACCAGGGGTGACTGTTCAAGTGAGTGGAATGTTCATATCCGCCAGCCGCATGGGTCCCTCATGATGAACACTGCAGATTAAATAGAGAAGTTCCTCACCCTCTGAGTCTGGAGGAGACTGCAGGCACTGAACTGATACCCCCTGCTATCCATGGTGCTTGTGGTCCTGTTTCCTAGATATCTCTCTTCTTCTCCTATTAAAAATTAATGCCCTGTCATTGGAGAAACTTTGCAAAACATGGATTTGGGTATTTTTGTGGGAGAAACTAAGAAAAGGAGCAAGAGAGCTGCCTTTGACCAAAGGCCCTGAGCGTCACAGGTGGGGGTTCTGTGGGACCCTGGGCAGGTCTCCCTGCACTGCGGAATAAGCTATGCACGAGTAGACTCATCTGGATGGCGTGACACTGTCTTTGTTGCCTGGGAGAGCAACAGTTAGAGTTCAATGGAGGCAAAGGACACCACAAAAACTTTGCAAGCCGCTAGGAGCTGGACGAAGGTGGGCTTTGGCGGCTCTTAGCTTTAGTACCTTGGGCAAATGAGTGATCTCTTGGAGCCTCAATTTCCCCAATCAGGCTATACTATACTTTTTTCTTGAGGCTTTTGTGACTATTAAATGGAACGATAACTATGAGATGCACTGCTTCTGTGGCACAATGAGGAACCCTAGATTAGTGAGACAGACTTGCTTGAAAAAAACTCATAGTGAGGGAGATTAACATTGTATTAAAAATAGCTATGATTCCCACCATGTTCGTGTTTATTAACAGTCTGCACAAAGAACCATGGAGACGAAAGGTAAGTGAACCATGCCAAAGAGTCAAGTTGGCGGAGGTGTTACTGAAGAATTGGCATTTACCAGGGTTGTTGAGTGTGAATGGATTTTACCAGATGAAGGAGGGAAGCAGTCATGAGGGGGAAGATAGCAATTTCCCAGGTGCATTTCTATCAAAAATTTATTAAACCATGGGGCAATTAGCCAAAACAGGCTTTTATATAATCTCAGAATCCTGTAGCTACACTAGAATTGTGCCTTCCATTAGATGATAGTCTATTAGCAGCTCTAGCAGAATTAGATTTTTTTATCCTTGGACATTATCTAACAATAGTGCCTGTATCTCGTCATTGAAAAACCATTTGGTGCCTTATTATAATGGTCAAAAACAGTGGGGTTTATAGCCACTGGAAAACTAGCTGTTTGGACCCTGATTATTTTCTTTCCCCTCACATTTTAGTTAGGAAAGGTGCACTTAGATCTGACCTCCTAGCGTGAGCTCTAACAGAGGGGACTGCAGGGCTTCCAGCTGGAGCTAGATTTACAGGTTCACGAACAATGTCTTTGCCACCCTGGACAGAACCATGATTCAGCTCTCGGGGCTCTGTGCCTGTCAGTAACCCTGTGTGCAGCATGTGGAGGGGGAGATGTTTGGATTTGAGAGCAAGAAGCACTTATAAGCGCTGTGTAGCAAAGACCACTTTGGAAACTTATTCTTCTGGTATATCCTGAATTTTAAAAATATATCTACCAATGATTTATTTATTGAATCATTTTTCTATAACTTGATAATCACAGAATAAATGCAAATCAGTAAGCAGCAAAAGCAACAAGATAGTCTTACATTTTGAAAATGTGGTCAGTGCTTTTATTATATTGTATGTAAAACTCAGAGATGAGTGCACCATTTTCATGATGGATTCCGGTATACTGCATGCAGCTCAGACCCCTCCAGTCCCTCTCAGGGGCTCTTGGACAAGCTTTGTTTTGTTCAGATTCACACCAAAGGACTGAAAGACTAAATATACAAATGGAGAGAACTTGATTAATAACAACACGCCTAATTTTTGTCCCTGCTTCCAATTTAGGACCAAGCAGAGAAAGCCAAGTATGTGACCCTGAACAGTAACAGGATGCTCTGCTTTGGCTAGCCTGCTGCATTTTCCCTTTGCCAACAGCTTGCTGTCAGGACGCCGGGAGACTACCTGTCTTCCACTGTAAAGCTTGCCTGTGGGTCTCTCCCAAATGCATGTGATGGTGGCTGACTCCTTGGTACCACAAGCTTGAAATAAACAACTTCTGTTTATTCTCACTAGTGGTTTTGGTTAATCTGTATAGGGCTATAAGTGGGAGTAACAGGAGCTAACATACAGGTCTATCCTAGGGTTCACTGGAGGTAGTCCAATTTGTTTTGCTGTTTTCACCATACTCCTCCTTACGCATTCTATTGCAGGTGCTCTGTCCACCAACGCCCTGCATTTTCTGAAGGATATAACATCTATTCTACTAGTTTCTCTGCTCTACTCATCTTCCCTGCTTCCAAGGTCTGCAACCATTTTGCATCCCAGCATTCCCCGATTGAGAAGAGCTTGTGCATCCTATCCTGAGCACCCATGCGGGAGTGGCTTATGGCGGCTGAGAAAGCTTGTTCCTTGTGCCTGCCATCTGCCCTTTTTGCCTTCCCCATTCCCAGTCCTGTGGGGTTGCACAGCTTCAAACTTAAAATTGAAGCCAGCTGCCTATCATTACACCCATAGTTTATTGTTATTATCTCTACTTCAGCTACTTTGAATTTTTTTTTTTGTTGGTGGTGCTGTTATTGTCATTTTAAAGGCTTCAATTCATTTTCTTCTCTTGTTGTAGGACTTTCAGCCTTTAAAGTTCCCCTGCTGCATACCTTACTGTTTAGAATCTTCATTTGCATCTACCTCTCCCCTGAAATTCAGAGCAGGACATTTTCCCCTTGAGGTTGCAGAGTAAAATTAAATGTGAAATAAATTGTTATAGTTGATTGCCTTAGAGAAATTTTCAGTAATCCTGGGAGCGTTAGAGTCCAGAAGGATTTTAGAGACCATCTAGTCCATTGCAATTCTTACGTTTTCACTGCTGATCCCTTTTATTTTCTTCTCTGACCATCATATGCTTTGAAAAAAGTCATTTTTTTGGGAAATAGCACTACAAGTAAAAAGGGGATTAGGTTTTACTGTGTTTTATATTTTAAAGAGAGTAGTAAAAAAATAAAAAAGAACAGTAGCAGCATATCAATATCACAGACATAAACAAGACAAAGCAAGAACATTAAAAGTGATACAAGGTTTCAATACAAAATGATAGGAATTAATAGTGGTTGTTATATTAACTATTGTTATCTTCAACTATGTTGCGCAGATTACCAGATGTAAGAATGGAAGATTGTTCAAACCACTAAAGAGAATTTTTTTAAAAATTATTAAATAAGACATTAGAGATAATACAGAGTTTCACTAGACAAGATGGTAGGAATTCATCAATGGTTATTCCATTGCATATTGTTGTCTTCAAATCAGTTGCTCAGATTACCAGATATAAGTATGCAAAATTGGTCAAAATATAAAAAATTTTAAGCATTAACTGTTCCTTTCAATATATCATCAGATATCAGCACTACAGTTACCTTACTGGGATTTTTTTGTTGTTGTTCTGGAAAGATATAATTAACTGTCAATCAAAATTGCCAATTATTAGGTAAATGGTATTTTTCCATAGAATTAATATAATTCCTTCTAAAAGTGGAGCAACTTGACATTTGGGTAGGTCCTAATATTTATATGCTTCTTCTTCGGTCTGAAATGTTTAGCATCATTTGAGAGCCTAAGTGTCACTTTCAAAGGCCCATAATCACCTTGGATTCCAGAATGGAAAGAATCTGTCTGATCTACATTCCTATCACAGGGTAGAAAGAAGGACCAAAGAAGTGCTGTGACTTGTCCAAATTGGTATCCCCAAGCTTAAGACCCTACTTCTATAAGTCCTATCCCTTGCTTTTCTACATATCTCCAAGTGTATCTTGGGCATTGAACTCATGGTTGGGTCCAGAGACAGAGAGAACTGCTGTTCTGGGCAAAGATATAAGAGTAGCTGGCTGATCTTGGCACCTCCCTTGGATACTGCAAATACCTAATATACATTGGTGCAAGTCATCCTTACACTCACCATATAAGGCGGGAACAGACACTACCCACACTTTGCAGGGTAAAAACACAGATGAAGTAACTTGACTCTGGTCAACCAGCTGGCAGGTGGCAAGAACACGGCTAGAAAGATAGGAAACCTCAACCTAGCTTCACTGCATCACTCCAGGACAGTAAGGTTCTGCCCAGTGCTGGAGAACATGGACTCCCCTGTCCCCCACCCCCAGTGTCTTGTGATGATTCACTGTATAAACCAGGAATATTAACGCTATGTAGCTGTGTAGCTTGAGCACAGGGTGCGACCCTTGACTGCCATGAAGGATGAGGTGGGATGCAGTATCCTGGATATTCCTCAAGGAGTGATGTAGGTGAAACAAGTGAAGAAGGAGAGGAAGTTCTTCTGAGTGTGGGACAGTGTGAGCCCTGTCTCTAGGGAGATAGAAGTCAAAGTTTTTCTGGAATGTAAAGTGCTC